TTTTAGAGAATTTGGCAGTACGTCCAACCGGCCTCACACGTGTATAAAATGTGGTGGTAAACATTAAATGGTTGTAACTTTAATAACACAAGTTCAGAATTGGTTTATATTTCTATAACCTTGGAAGAAATCTAAAAGGAGTGACTGCAACTACCATTATTCCTTTTTGTGTTATTTGTTTTTTTTTGTCAGCACAGGGTAACATGTATTGCTTTTTTTAAGACTAACTCAATCATTCCTGTTGTGCATTCTATACTACATTCCAACATTTATTGCTTTTTCCTTTGTCTTTATGTTGTATATCTTATTCCGTATACTCTTAGATTCTTTATCTTGAAGTGTTATCATATATTTTGAGTTCATATATTATTATAATCATCTGTTCATTCTTTGGCCGGCATTCAATCTGACTGCACGTTGTAGCACGCTTGTCATTTAAAGCTATAATCCTTCATTAGTGAAACTGCCACGACTGTTTGGGATATTACAACAACAAAGAAGTTACTGCAAACAACGAACGCTGTTTCTCCCCCTGTGACATCATTACAGGCTGGATAGGAAATCAGAATATGTACTGCAATTAGTTTTCACCAGGCTGCTGGAGGCTCCTCCCTTTCAAGACAAAAACAATAACAAAGGCCCTGGTTGGCTGTTTCCCCAAATGTGGATTCTATCTGTAAAGGTACATTCCGATTGAGCCGACATCTGCAGTCTACCGTGAATGTGATCTCCACGAATGTTGGAACATTGCCTTTAGAAGCTGCATTGTCAACAGCTCTCTACAACGGGCAATCGGATTGAATCCCGGCCTTTATATATTTTAAACATTTTTAAAAGGGGGACAGTTTTTCACAAGTTATTTTGGTTGGTTGTTGGGGTTTGTTTTCTTGTTGTTGTTGTTTTTATCGCTCATGATGTTATTGATTATAAATGTTGTGAGTTTGATTATGTTGTATATTATTGTTATGATGTTAGTAGTACAGTATATATAATGATGTTATTATCTTATGATCTTTAGGTTAGAAGGAAAGTATTGTACTTAGTAAGGTGTGATATACAATAGATTGTGTGTGTATATGTTGCGTGCAAATCAATCAATCAAATGAATCAATCAATCAATAAGTCAAGTAAATAAATACATATTGTGTTATATCAATGACCTCAAAGGTATTGTTGACAACAGTATCACATCCACCGTATGTGTGATGTGAGTTCAGATTAGGTTGCTGTTATGTTATTTACCCTTTCCAGATAAAGACCTGTTGCTCTCTAAACTGCCATTTAAACTGTTTTTTATTTCACAACGGTCAAGTGATTATTGACCATGAGTGATTCCATCAGTGACACCAGACAACAACAACAGAACACAGACCATCTGGGAATCAACTGTTGCAGTTTCTCTGCACCATGCTCTCAGATTCTAGCCAGTCTGTGCTTTTACGTTTGGCTTGACAATGACAGCAATGGAGTTGTCAAGAGCACAAACAGATCTGGGACCAGGCTACTCAGATTGTGGTTCAGAGTGGTGTAAGAACACTAAATGTACCATACCAAAGTAAAACACCTTGTAACAATACAATACAATAAAAAGGGTGTGAAGTGTTCATCAATTAAAGGAATAATATAAACGACAGTATAGGAGCTGAATCCCTTAATGCAGAGAGTTGAACATCTCGTCACAGCAAAGATCTACCTCTAGAGAGGGAGAGAGAGAGAATGAATTGTGGAGTACAAATCTAAGTCTAATACACACATCATTCAGACCCATAGGCAATATAAATTGAAAAAGGTGAAATAGATATATCAAAATACATATAAATGCTAATTCAATTGTATTTCTTAATTGTAATTCCTATGTCAAAAGGTCATGGGCTATTTGTAGAGTATGTAAGGGTAGAGACATGGTCATATTCATTGTGACTGCAGGAGATTGTGACTGACAGACAGTGATCACAGGGCACGACCCCATGACCTGACACTTACGTTTTGCACTTGAGGTCAAAGTGGCACTGGAGATCTAACATTTGTAGTCAACTTGTAGTCATTATTAACTTATTATAAACAGGGTGGTTCGAGCCCTGACTGCTGATTGGCTGAAAGATGAGGGCTCATCTGTAAAAGAGACCTTGGTCTCAGTATGACTCCCTTATAAAATAAAGGTTAAATAAATAAGTTAAAAGCTGTGGTATATACGATGGGTATGACAAAAAAGTACTATTTACTGCTCTAATTACGTTGGTACCAGTTTATAATACCAATAAGGCATCTCAGGGGTTTGTGGTTTATGGCCAATATACCACTGCTAAGGGCACTTCATTTTGCGTCGTCCATAAGACCAGCCCTTAGCCAGTGGCCATATCATAGAAATAGAATGAATAGAACTCATGGGTACACTCGCAATGGCTGACTGGTATTGTGATGCAATAATTTCCATGGTAATGTAGAATGTTAATTCAAATGATCCTAACTGATGTGGCTCATGCAATGGAATGTATTTTTTGTAATGGCCAATTGAGTTGATTCAACATATCACAGCACAGATTGATGGGTACACGTCCTGCTTTTAGTTCCTGCTTTTACTTCCTGCTTTGCTTCTATGGGTACACTTGCAATGGCCGCCAGTCCACCCATTATGCCAGTCATTAACTTGAATGGGGACGTCCACTCTATTCATTATACTTCTATGGGCCATTTGACACACCACCTCTGGCCTTATTGCTTAATTATAACCTGATTATTAACACTTCAAGCCAAAGCCTAGGTGACTCCAAAACAACTCTTCAGGTCTCAGGCAAGGTTACTCATCACACAAGTGTGGTCAGTCAGTTGTTCCAAACCACCTCAGTTACACCAACACCAGTCATATCTCCACGGGCCTGTTCAGGAGGATGTAACAATATAGAATGTTCAGATAGAAATGTATTGTGTAGAACAGATATGAGTGTCGGTGAGATAGAATAGGGAATAGTGTCTGCTCTATTTATTCTATTTCTATCTGCAACATTCAGAACGTTTCACATCACTGAATACTCACCAGCTCTCCAATGAAGACAGTCAGGTGGGTTGTGATGAGGACTGGAGGTGGTGGCAGTACTGTAAGGACCCCACACGGGCTGTATTAGGGTGCCCAGCGGGATGCCTGTGGCCATGACATCCCTCCTCCTTTGGAAATGTTAATGAGTGCCGGAGGTGACATGAAGAAATGAGTAATCAGAACAAACAGTGCGTCTCCCATGGTGCCAAGGGGTAACGCCGCCAAGAAAGGTTAGATTTCCTTTGTTCAGTGAGGTATCCATCTTTGCTACCAGCTATTTCTAATATTGTTGCCTACAAAGGGTTTTATCAAATTGAATTTCCCAACAAAAGAAATTCTGAAGTATCACTCCAGCCAGGCCCACTGTTGACTGAGTTTGGGTATCATCTCAGATCATGAATGCCATGGCCCAGTCAACAAGTAGAGTAGAACAGTGTAAAGTCTGGGACATTTGAGTTGTCGAACAAGTAGTTCACAGCAGCTCACACTTTATAAACTACAAACATAAACAAATATATAAACAAAGAAACAAATAATGTCCCACATTTAGGGCTCTATTCAATCTTTCAAGCTGAAGTGTTACAGATTCTGTTGTAATTTCCGATTGAGCCGACATGTGCAGCATTCTCGGAGAGGCCAGTCTCTGCTAAAGCGGGAACACTGCCTTTAAATTCTAATAACACTGTAAAGCTAAACTTCCGCATTGCGGATTGAACACAGCCCTCAGGCTGCGTTTACACAGGCAGCCCAATTCTGATATTGTTTCGCGCTAATTGCTCTTTTGACCAATCAGATCTGAAAAAGAGCTGATGTGAAAGATTCTGATGTGATTGGTCCAAAAAACAATTTGTGGAAAAAATATCAGAATGTCTGTGTAAACGCAGCCTCAGTCGTTTCAATACGCGTTTGCATATTTTTTTTATATTTTTTTTTGGGGGGGGATGGATCAGCTTAATATTGCAGATAGATTGTATCTTCTATCAATGTAATTGTCTGCATCACTTCCAATCCCCCATGTTTGCATCTTTGCCCTTTGGCTGGTGTGGATAAATGAACGCTTACTTCTTCTGGGAACATGATGGGGGTGGGGAGAAGAAGATAGAGATTGGGGGGGCAGTGGGCAGACCTTCCAATTAACATTTGAGTCACTCCATATCATTAGCGGCTCTGTGTGGTGCATTAGGACCACACATCGTGCCGGAGACACGCACCAAGGCTGGTGGGGCTAATCTCAACTGACGCACCACCACTGGGCTTGGCTGAGACACGCCTCACCCTCCAACCCCACAACACTAGACTGTGAATGAGTCCCAAATGGCACCCTATACTATTCCCAAAAGGGTGCCATTTCAGATGGGGCCCTGGTCAAAAGTAGTGCACTTTACAGGGAATTGGGTGCCATTTCAGAAGCACACTAACATCATCACTGGGCTTGGGGTTTGTTTAGATCTGAAATGCCACTTGTAATGCTATGTTATGTGTTGTTTGTCATGCACACTTCACACATTTTTGAACACTTGTAAATGCCATGTCACAACTTTGCAGATATTGGATGTTAGACGGATGTATAATATTGTTTTGTTCTTGTGACTGTGTCGAACCTCTTTGTGACCTTCTCCACTTCTTCCCTACTGCTAGTGACCCCCATGACCCACACACACCCCATCCCCTGCACACGTCCTCATCAACCAATCATATCCCTGTATTGGTCCGAGGACGAGGAAGAGCCAAGGATGAAGAAAACTATATATTGGTGGCGCCACTGTTACATGACACTTCAACAGGGCTGTGTTTTGTGTATGGACCTAACAACCAACTTCCTTCTCTGACATCCAGCCGTTAGTTTTGTTTTCCACTAGGCAAGTTATTGTTGAACATCCAGTCTAAGATTATTGCTGCTGAATATAGCATTGAAGGACACAGTCGGTAAACAGTTTTACCAATAGGAAAGGTACGGACAGGGGAGATGCTGTGTTCCCAGCTACAGGTGTTACTGGTGGCTCTGTCTGCCTCAGTGTTGCTGGCGAGGGTCAGCGCCGCTCCACACAGAGACATGCTAACTGAACTACTGAGAGCAGACACAACCAAGGGCAACGAGGTGAGTGGTTGACTCACTGTTGTGTGTCAATGGCCTAATTTATTACTGGTTCTAACATGTGTCCTTTGTCTTCCTCTTATCCACTTTCTGATTGTGGCCGTTGCATCTATTTATGGTAGTAAAATGTCTCGTCTGTCCACTGTGTTCACATTGTGAACAGATATCCTGGTCCCTTCCTGTATGCAAATTAAATTTAACAGATATTCTTTCAAAATAATATGTATTTATTTATTCTGTCAATGATTTTACAGGGCGGGATAATGGTTTAAATGGTGTCACTGTCCAGATCACAGGAGGTTGGTGGCACTTTAATTGGGGAGGACGGACTCGTGGTAATGGCTGGAGCGGAATTAGTGGAAAAGTATCAAGATCAAACATATGGTTTCCATGTGTTTGATGTCATTCCATTCGCGCCGTTACAGCCATTATTATGAGCCGTCCCCCCCTCAGCAGACTCCATTGGATCCATCTACACTTCACCTCAGGAGGTGGTCAGAAAGATCTGATCACAATGCGTCTTTTAAACATCTACATCTGTCTAAAAATGTGGGCACAATCAGAATGTGGACAAGATCAAGACAAAGGATCTTGTAGGTCAATTGGTAGAGCATGGCGCTTGTAACGCCAGGGTAGTGGGTTCGATCCCCGGGAACACCCATATGTAAAAATGTATGCACGCATGACTGTAAGTCGCTTTGGATAAAAGCGTCTGCTAAATGGCATATTATTATTATTATGTTAGACCCACATAAATGGAGCTAATGTTTGTATTAATTCTTGAAAGATATTCTGTAATATTCAACTCAAAAGTCATACAATTTCAAGAGGACTAGTCATATTAAATGACCAAAACTTCTACTTGTATATGTTAAATTATTTGATGATTTAATTAGGCTTCTGATGTTGTTTTGGTCCTAGAATAACTGACAGAAGTGGTCCATGACAACCATAGTGTTATAGCAACAAAGAAGTTATAAAATCCATGGTATCAGTTAGGCAGTTCTGTCCCTTTCTTGGATGTACAATGAAGTTGTATTTTATACTATTATATTCTACTCTGTTCCTAATAGGATCTCTCCCGCACCCTCCTGCTGAAGATAATGTCGGACCTGATGAACACAGCCGCGGGGGAGAACGAGGTACTACCGGACCTGGAGGAGGCACTCGGAGTGAAGGAGGAGGTGGTGCGCCAGCTACCCCTCTCCCAACGGGAACGCAAGGCAGGATGCCGGAACTTCTTTTGGAAGACATTCACATCGTGTTAGCGCGCCAAGCAGCCTCTCTTCTTTGCATTGGATCATTTGAAGACTTATTTCTTGCAATGTCACAAATGTAAATGACAGCTACTTATTTTTTTTGCACTGTTCATTATCAATTAAAAGGCCTAGAATGTTGTTGGCACATACCTGATATGTATTTTTCATTGGTTGTCATGTGTAATAGATGGGTTGGTTGTTTAGGAACAAAAGCGTTGGGTGCGCAACTATGGGGCAAAACAGACGGGGTTGGCTTAGATTGTTGACATGTAAGCTATATTTCGTCTCCAATGTTTATTGAAAACATAAATAAATATGCACAATGAGCACTTGTCTCTTAAATACATAATTAGAGTTGTTGGTTAGCTAACTAACGAATTTTAGTCATATTAGCATTCAAAACACCTCAAAACAAGATGAAACGAGACATGACTTCCCACATGGCAGTTTCTTGTCATTCTTGCTAGCAGCCATCCATATTCACAACACGCTGACTTCTGCCCCATGGAAGCATGCACATCGTTTTTGTGAGGTTGTCAGCTAACCCATCTATAACACTGAATAGGTTTTAGGTTAGGGTCTAGTACAGGGGTCTATGAAAAGACAGACACAGTGTAGTTTGCTGAAAAAAAAGGGATGGTTTATTGTATCGATTATGTACTACAATCGGCATTAGGGAAAAAAGCAAATGCACACACACACACACACCCCCATTCACACATATACTTCAAACTTGAGCCAAATTGTACAAACCACCTGCTCAGTACAAAAGCATTCTCAGCCTGTATTCCTCACATGGACAGATCGATTATTCTGCAATACAAACGGCTTTGAACCACCGATTACACTTCTCAACAAAACATGTTGGCCATCAAGGCCACACATTTGAACGACTGTGCCACGAGACTGCACTGAAGGGAAAGAGTGAGATGGTAAAAAACTGAAAGAACATGTCATCATAAGCAATATTTCTATAGCATTTCATTGCTGTTCTTTTGTACTTATCAATATGACACTGTGGAACATAAACTCAATATCATGGCTAAACACCGACTTAGAAACAATGAGTATACAACAGGAGTTGAAATAAATAAGCAAAAGTGGAAAATGCAACTCACAGGGCTCACACATAGATCTTCATATCTTTGTGCTCAGAGACTAATACTGAGGGAGAAGGATCAACTACTGTAGCAAGTACTGTGATTCTGGACACAAAAACAAACACAGATTTGGGTTTTGAAGGGGTATCAAATTAAAAGGAGTTTTCAATTCACTTTTACGTTACAAAACAAATTAAGACAGTGGGACGGTGAAACACAAGGACGAATTACATCAAAACAATGTGTGAAGAACTCCGATGTCTCAGAGATGCGTAAACATCGCCGATAGTGCCAGGAGGATAGGGATTAGTAACACAATTCAAACTCCTAAGACTAAGCTGAAACAAAAACCCATAAAGAACACAAGAGGATGTTTCCTCAGCCCACATGGAGAGCATGAGATCCCTGTTTCTCAGTAAGACAATGGCAACCATTATACTTCATTGCACCTTCATCACTGTAACAGTCAAGTATCAATCAACACAAAAGTTAAAAAGAAAAAATATATATTATTATAATAATAAGCGCATTCAAATTTTGAAGATGGGGTTTGGAGTTTTGGCTGGTATACAAGTAACATATTCTCTGAAATGCAGTACCAATTATCATGACGCAAATCGCTGTTATGTTTTGACAAGGCAAACTTGTCAGGTGCCAAGTTATCATCTTGACACAAACGTACTGTTTCAAAATTAAATAGGATCACAGCATTGACTTTAGCGATCTGCTTTTTATTACTACCTAATCTTTCTTTGTACTCTATTCTATTCACAACTCAATCCAGCTACAGCTACTTCCTCTCCTATGAAATGTATGCAAACCCATTCACTCCATAACCAAATCAACCTGCAACATATGCTCAGTCACAGATATCATTTGCATATGTGCGTTTTTCATGCGAGGCAGTTCAGCGTTTTGATTGACTTTAGTGGTATACAAAAAATATATATGTTCCATTATCTGGACTGGTCAGATACCCCTAAGCCAGGAAGATATAGTCTTCCTCATCATCATTTTCCTACTCTTCCTCAATCCTCATCATCATCACCTAATTTTCCTACTTATCAACGTCATCGTCAATATCCATCAATCATTATTTTCCTTTATAGAGCTCCTTCCATGTCCCCCCTATGTCTGGCGGGATAGTGTGAGACATAGTGTGGGACATGCAGGATTAGTGTGAGATGAGCAGTGGTGGGGGGGGGGGGGGTTGGGTTAGTGCAGCCCCTGCTGCCTGCAGGTCAGAGGCTCTATACAGTACTGGTATGTGCTGAGGAGTAGGGGATAGGGTGTAGTGGATAGGGAGTAGGGAGTAGGGGTAGAGGATACAATATAGAGGATAGGTGATAGCTAGTATAAACCAGAGGACAAGGATTAGGGAATAGTGGATAGGGAATAGTGGATAGGGAATAGTGGTGGAACTTGTTGTCAATCCATGTTTCAATACCCTGTCTTTAACCTGTAATCATGTATCAATAAACCTGGTCAAGTGAAATTAAATAATGACATAATATTGAAGACTGTGAGACAGTTTAAGGTTACAGGGTACTACTGATTCCACAGCATTGGGCATCTGAAGAATGAAGATTGACTATATGAGTATGAAAAAGTAGAGTAGGGTGAAGTTGCCCTTAGAAACTGATCTAGAGTTACTTTAACATTTCCCCCCTTGCGGTTAAGGTTATGATTTGGAGAGGGGTTAAACTGGTCTCAGATATATTCTTTAGGGCAACTTCTACCCCGGAGCAGGTGAAAGTAATGGAAGGATTGCAGGGTCAGAGGTGACGTCCCCTAGCTGGTTAGCAGTCAGTGGAGATTTTGGCGGAGAGGTCCTGGATGCGGCGGGCGCTGCAGCCCTTACACAGGATGTGACCGTCCAGGGGGTAACAACCTCGCCCCTCGCCCTCAGAGGACAGGAGCAAACCACACTCCTGGACAGAGAAAACACAGGGTCAATCCAGGAACACTGATTGGGTTAAACTGAATGGCCTTTGTACATCTAATGTGATAGCCTGCCAAACTGGAAACGTCATTCAACTTGAGCGAGCTATTTTACTAACAACGACATGCACTCATGAACATTACTACTACTACTCACCTCACACACATAGCAGTTGACGTGGAAGCTGCGGTCCAGCGCCACTATCCTGACTGTCTCCTCCTGTCCCGGTTCGGGCATGATGGCCTGGCCACACACTGAGCAGCGGGGGGCAAACTTCCTGTTTAGGACAGGAAGCAGGACGTACCAGATCAGAGGGTGGGACACGAACATCACAGTCAGATATAATAATCTGTCTAGTAGAATCACGTCAATGGCTGAATGTTATCTCAAGAGACAAAAGTGAAATGGGAGACTTGTGCTAGCGTCCCAGTTCATTGCTTGTTTAAAAAAGTACAGGTAGTATCTGGCCCTGAGATACTCCGTTTGTTGAGCTGCTGACCTGTGGAAGTCATCTATGCAGTGAATCTGGGAGGTGGCGTCCACGGTGAAGGGAACTCCATCCAGGCAGCAGCCACACACCACACAGTTGAAGCAGCGCGGGTGGTAGGCCTTGCCCATGGCCCGCAGGATACGGTCCAAGATGGGCTTGGAGCACTTAGAGCAGCGCTCTAGGGTACTCTGAGACGGAGAGGGGCAGCACAGGTTCAGACAGAATAGTGTGTGTGTGTGTGAGAGAGATAGTGCCAGTGTGATTACCGAAATGTTGGTTATTTTTTGTTTTTTAAACAACTAATTGACCAACGTCGGTTCAATTATTGGAATTCCATTTCGGGTTTTTATCTTCTGTGAGCTCAAAGCGCACATTCCGCAGTTTCTCTAGAGATAAATCAAATCAAACCCGAACTGTGCGATGTAGTAGGGAGTTGTAGTTTCCAACAGGCCAATATTCCACATCACGTGTCAAACTCATCCCACGGAGGGCCGAATGTCTGCAGGTTTTCGCTCCACCCTTGTACTTGATTGATGAATTAAGCTCACTAATTAGCAAGGAATTCCCCTCACCTGGTTGTCTAGGTCTTAATTGAAAGGAAAAAACCAAAAACCCGCAGACACTTGGCCCCCCGTGGAATGAGGTTGACACCCCTGTTCTTCATAGTTTAGCACAGAAAACATGGTAATTTACTACAATGACCATAATCCATTGCACGCCTACTTGTCCGGTCTGTGTGTTTCTTTTACGCCTGCTACGGTAGGTTAGTGTGGAGCAGACACAGAGAGAAGAGACAGACAAATGTGTGATCGAGAGGGTTTAGAGAGCAGTTGCTTCGCGAGGTATCTCTACCTGAAAATACATGATCTAAGTGACTGATAGTTGGTATTCAGCAGTCATAAAAGGTATGCCTTATTTACTTTGAAGAACTACTAAAATTGTGATTTTGTCAGACAGCACAGGCAGCAGCTCTATAGAGATGAGATGATGACTTGGAATGAAATAATAAAGTCATCAAATATGATGAACTGCACATAAACCTACTCGTTTCAAGTCCTGCCACAACATCTCAATTGGGATTAGGTCTGGACTTTGACTAGGCCATTCCAAAACTTCAAATGTGTCACTTTTTAGCCATTTTCATGTAGACTTGATTGTGTGTTTTGGATCATTGTCTTGCTGCATGACCCAGCTGCGCTTCAGCTTCAGCTCACAGACAGATGGCCTGACATTCTCCTGTAGAATTCCCACAAATGCCGCTGAGTTAAAGCAGTTCTTCATGGAATAGTGGGCCAAAATTCCTCCACAGCGACGTGAGACTGATCAACAACTACAGGAAGCATTTGGTTGCAGTCATTGCAGCTAAAGGTGGCACAACCAGTTATTGAGTGTAAGAGGACAATTACTTTTTCACACAGGCGAATTGGGTGTTGCATAACTTTGTTGATGAAATAAATAAAAAAGTATGTAATTGTTGTGTTATTTGTTCACTCAGGTTCCCTTTATCTAATATTAGGTTTTGGTTGAAGATCTGATAACATTCAGTATCAAAAATATGCAAAAGTAGAGACAATTTGAAAGGGGGCAAATACTTTTTCACAGCACTGTACACAACAACTGAAATATTTTATTAAAGTAAAGTAATGTGACTAAATGATGGTTAATAACTGATAACGGGAGTAATGGGAAGTCATTACCATCATGGGAGTTTTATAAATTGTTTTATTATGTGTTGCAGCATTCAACCCACATAATGCATGTTTTTATTTTTTTATTACCGAAATAGAAAACCGTGATTATTTTTTCATAATCGAACCGAAAACGACCTCAAAAAGCACTTACGGTTCAGCACTAGTGAGGGTACTACTCGTGAATCCAATAGATACGGAGCAGGATGGAGAGATCAACTGATGAAATCAGGGAATACTACTAAAGAATTTAGAACAAAAAGAGAAGGAGAAGGGCCAGCCACTCACAATGTAACAGCTCTCGCAGTAGCTCTTCTTGTCCAGGGCATAGAAGGGTTGTCCCCGGAGACGGGCGTGGCAGGTGATGCATGTGAAACACTCCACGTGGAACACCTGCTCCATGGCGATACAGCCACTGCCGTCGCCAAGCACATTGTCACCGCAACGCGCACAGCGACCTGATAGTATGGAGGGAAAGGGAGAGAGGAGAAAAGATGAGACTAGGAAGATATGAGATTTTTACTTTGTAGCCCAAGGGGAAATTAAGATGTAAATAACAGTGCAGTCAACACAAAGGACATACAATTGTTAGAAAGAAAGAGAGACGTACCAAAGTATTCCTCTGCAGGTGGGTGATTCATGTCATACACCAACTTCTTAGTGAGCCGGTCCAACTCCTCCTCTTGCCTCGGAGCTGCTGACCCCTGCTGGACAAATATGATTAATTATTTTCCATTCAGATCAGTGAAACCAAGAGACTGAGGATACAAGTATTCTAAAAGGACCATACTTTAGAAGAAGCAGCAGAGCATGCTGTAGAGTAGATGATATCTGAACTCTACAGAGACACTCACCTTGCTGGGCTGATAGGCAGGACTTGGGGCCGAGCCTGACCCTGATTGGTGAATCTCCAGGCCCCTCTTGGGCGTGGGGCCCTGGTTCCCACGCCCTCTAGACCCCCCGGGGATCTCCTTGTAGGCCCCATCACAGTGCAGCTCCTGGGCTTGGGATGCGGGATGGGGAGGGTACCAGCCCTGGGGGCCCGTCTGGTTCTGGGGTGGGGGACGTGAGGTGTGCTGGTGGGGTGGAGGAGGGGTGTAAGCCTGCTCGGCTTGTCTACCAGTCTGGGAGTAGGTGACAGGCTGGGCTGTTTTTACCTGGACGCTGAACCTCGGGCCAGTAGGGGTGGAAGAGGTGGTGTAGGAGGCAGGAACGGGCTGGGGGTAGGGTTTGGAGACCTGGGCGTAGGTGTAGTCTGGCTGGGGGGAGTACTGGGGAACCTGGTGGGGATCACTGGGGTATAGGGGTGCTGGATGGTACTGGGACTGGGGATGAGGGGGGTAACCCATGGACGGCCTGCCCTGAGAGGGTGCTCCTGGCTGGGTTGTAGGTTTGTAGCGGTCCCCTGAGATGTGTTTGTTGTAAGGCACGTTGTCGTACAGCTGTGAAGGGATGGAAAGGAACCATCAATAATTTTTTTGCCTTTTTTATTAAATGAATTACTGTGACTAACAACCCAGGCGTAAACATCCAGAAGAACCTGTGATACACTTTCAGCCAGATATGATTTAAAAAATAAAGTTAGTAATATATTATGTTTCTGGGGAATCCTTTATTCCTCACATGTAGTCAGTCAGGTAGCCTACCTGTGTGCTGTTCTGTGGATGGCTGTCCAGATCGGCCAGCATGCAGGTGAGAGAGTCAATCTCTGCATCGATGTTGGAGTGGCGTCCACTCGGCTTCTCAGGTCCACGATGCTGAAATCACAGAGTAGGATCACACACACAAGTTGCATGCCTTTATAACATTTCACAACAGGAGATAGATAGATAGGTAGGTAGAGCAAATGTAGTCTCATTACTTTTTTATTTGAATATTGGATATGAGCAATGTCATGCTCCATGACAATAATCATAACTAGTCTATCTACATGCAATTAGGTTGAAAACCTAACTAATCTGGAAACCACACTGAACATTGTGGCGAAATGGAGCAATAATCAGTGTGGATTCCAGGCTACAAAACCAATGATGTCCCACCTACCATTAGCTCATAGCTGTCCATGTGAGGGTTCCGGGAGCGGTCTTCTTTGGACCCGTGGTAGTAGTGCTCCTTAGATTTAGGGTGAAACTCTGGGTCCTCTTGGTGCTGGTGCTGCATGGGCCCACCTTTACAACAAATACGACACAGTAAACTTTACATTTACAAACAAGAGTAGATGACCATAATGTACATTGACATAATCACTTTTTTTCATCAATATTGTGCCAGTTCTAATCACCAAAGCGTTGGAGTACTCAATCTTGTGTCAGGTCTAACACTCTTGAGCTACAGTGGGGAGAACAAGTATTTGATACACTGCCAATTTTGCAGGTTTTCCTACTTACAAAGCATGTAGAGGTCTGTAATTTTTATCATAGGTACACTTCAACTGTGAGAGAGACAGAATCTAAAACAAAAATCCAGAAAATCACATTGTATGATTTTTAAGTAATTCATTTGCATGTTATTGCATGACATAAGTATTTGATCACCTACCAACCAGTAAGAATTCCGTCTCTCACAGACCTGTTCATTTTTCTTTAAGAAGCCCTCCTGTTCTCCACTCATTACCTGTATTAACTGCACCTGTTTGAACTCGTTACCTGTATAAAAGACACCTGTCCACACACTCAATCAAACAGACTCCAACCTCTCCATAATGGCCAAGACCAGAGAGCTGTGTAAGGACATCAGGGATACAATTGTAGACCTGCACAAGGCTGGGATGGGCTACAGGACAATAGGCAAGCAGCTTGGTGGGAAGGCAACAACTGTTGGCGCAATTATTAGAAAATTGAAGAAGTTCAAGATGACGGTCAATCACCCTCGGTCTGGGGCTCCATGCAAGATCTCACCTCGTGGGGCATCAATGATCATGAGGAAGGTGAGGGATCAGCCCAGAACTACACGGCAGGACTTGGTCAATGACCTGAAGAGAGCTGGGACCACAGTCTCAAAGAAAACCATTAGTAACACACTACGCCGTCATGGATTAAAATCCTGCAGCGCACGCAAGGTCCCCCTGCTCAAGCAAGCGCGTGTCCCGTCTGAAGTTTTCCAATGACCATCTGGATGATCCAGAGGAGGAATGGGAGAAGGTAATGTGGTCTGATGAGACAAAAATTGAGCTTTTTGGTCTAAACTCCACTCGCCGTGTTTGGAGGAAGAAGAAGGATGAGTACAACCCCAAGAACACCATCCCAATCGTGAAGCATGGAGGTGGAAACATCATTCTTTGGGGATGCTTTTCTGCAAAGGGGACAGGACGACTGCACCATATTGAGGGGAGGATGGATGGGGCCATGTATCGCGAGATCTTGGCCAACAACCTCCTTCCCTCAGTAAGAGCATTGAAGATGGGTCGTGGCTGGGTCTTCCAGCATGACAACGACCCGAAACACACAGCCAGGGCAACTAAGGAGTGGCTCCGTAAGAAGCATCTCAAGGTCCTGGAGTGGCCTAGCCAGTCTCCAGACCTGAACCCAATAGAAAATCTTTGGAGGGAGCTGAAAGTCCGTATTGCCCAGTGACAGCCCCGAAACCTGAAGGATCTGGAGAAGGTCTGTATGGAGGAGTGGGCCAAAATCCCTGCTGCAGTGTGTGCAAACCTGGTCAAGACCTACAGGAAACGAATGATCTCTGTAATTGCAAACAAAGGTTTCTGTACCAAATATTAAGTTCTGCTTTTCTGATGTATCAAATACTTATGTCATGCAATAAAATGCAAATTAATTACTTAAAAATCATACAATGTGACTTTCTGGATTTTTGTTTTAGATTCCGTCTCTCACAGTTGAAGTGTACCTATGATAAAAATTACAGACCTCTACATGCTTTGTAAGTAGGAAAACCTGCAAAATCGGCAGTGTATCAAATACTTGTTCTCCCCACTGTACGTATTAACTGACTTTTGATTTTCATTATTGACAATAGTTTATCACAGGTTTTCATTAGAGCAAGGTTTCACACAAGACACAAGCCCAGTGTAATGTAAGGCCCACCACCATGTTCCTACCTGTGGGTCCAGTAGCCATGTACCTAGTGGCCATTCCTCCTCCTCCTTTCTGGTCATAGACCCCATACTTGGGCCGGGGGTCCGAGGAGACCTTCATGGGCGGCTGTCTGTACATGACTGGCCCGGAGTGGGACGTCTGGGGAACAGCTCTCTCTGGGCTACCCAGAGTCCTTGGCGGCAGCCAGGTGGGACCGGACATGTCAGGGTTCTGAAAAGAAGGAGGCCGTCAATGATTAAACTGTTATATTGTAAAACTATGGCAGAACAATTATTTTCCTGTATTTATGAGGCTTTTATAAAAGAGTAGATGCAATGTCCTATTTTGGTTGCCACACCAACCTACATTATGTGTGTATATTTACAGTTGAAGTCGGAAGTTTACATACACTTGGCTTGGAGTCATCAAAACTCGTTTTTCAACCACTCCACAAATGTCTTGTTAACAAACTATAGTTTTGGCAAGTCGGTTAGGACATCTACTTTGTGCATGACACAAGTAATTTTTCCAACAATTGTTTACAGACAGATTATTTCACTGTATCACAATTCCAGTGGGTAAGAAGTTTACATAAACTAAGTTGACTGTGCCTTTAAACAGCTTGGAAAATTTCAGAAAATGATCTTATTGCTTTAGAAGCTTCTGATAGGCTAATTGACATCAGTTGAGTCAACTGGAGGTGTGCCTGTGGATGTATTTCAAGGCCTACCTTCAAACTCTGTGCCTCTTTGCTTGACATCATGGAAAATCAAAAGAAATCAGCCAAGACCTCAGAAAGAAAATTGTAGACCTCCACAAGTCTGGTTCATCCTTGGGAGCAATTTCCAAATGTCTGAAGGTACCACGTTCATCTGTACAAACAATAGTACGCAAGTATAAACACCATGGGACCACGCAGCCGTCATACCGCTCAGGAAGGAGACCCGTTCTCTCTCCTAGAGATGAACATACTTTGGTGCGAAAAGTGCAAATGAATCCCAGAACAACAGCAAAGGACCTTGTGAAGATGCTGGAGGAAACGGGTACAAATGTATCTATATCCACAGTAAAACGAGTCCTATATCGACATAACCTGAAAGGCCGCTCAGCAAGGAAGAAGCCACTGCTCCAAAACCTCCATAAAAAAGCCAGACTACGGTTTGCAACTGCACATGAGGACAAAGATTGTACTTTTTGGAGAAATGTCCTCTGGTCTGATGAAACAAAAATAGAACTGTTTGGCCATAATGAACCATCGTTATGTTTGGAGGAAAAAGGGGGTTGCTTGCAAGCCGAGAACACCAACCCAACCGTGAAGCACGAGGGTGGCAGCATCATGCTGTGGGGGTGCTTTGCTGCAGGAGGGACTGGTGCACTTCACAAAATAGATGGCATCATGAGGAAGGAAAATTACGTGGATATATTGAAGCAACATCTCAAGACATCAGTCAGAAAGTTAAAGCTTGGTCGCAAATGGCTCTTCCAAATGGACAATGACCCCAAGCATACTTCCAAAGTTGTGGCAAAATGGCTTAAGGACAACAAAGTCAAGGTATTGGAGTGGCTATCACAAAGCCCTGACCTCAATCCTATAGAAAATGTGTGGGCAGAACTGAAAACGCGTGTGCGAGCAACGAGGCCTACAAACCTGACTCAGTTACACCAGCTCTGTCAGGAGGAATGGGCCAAAATTCACCCAATTTATTGTGGGAAGCTTGTGGAAGGCTACCTGAAACGTTTGACCCAAGTAAAAAAATGTAAAGGCAATGCTACCAAATACTAATTGAGTGTATGTAAACTTCTGACCCACTGGGAATGTGATTAAAGAAATAAAACCTGAAATAAATCACTACTATTATTCTGACATTTCACATTCTTAAAATAAAGTGGTGATCCTAACTGACCTAAAACAGGGAATTTTTACTAGGATTAAATGTCAGGAATTGTGAAAAGCTGAATTTAAATGTATTTGGCTAAGGTTTATTTTAACTTCCGACTTCAACTGTATGTCACAGGTAACCACTGGAGTGGAAACCAAGAGATGCTTCAAACTGGGTTTCCTATGGCAACTCACACACAGCGGTTTAATAATAGGCTCATGGTTGAGAAGCAGGAAGATAGAGCCATTCCCAACCATAAGGGGAATTCCAGCGGACAGACACACCAGTTCCAAAGCGTTAGCCAACACACACACACACAACAACAAAAAAAACCTCACAGGTGCAAGACCCTTGGCTTGTTCCACCATTACCCCTGGGTCTTTATCCATTACAATAGTTATTGTCTCTGATGTTTACACTCAACTCTAAATGATCCCAAATGAAGTTGCAGCGACTAAAACAAGAGAGAAAACGTCTGTAATGATATGTGTCTCTGCTTCAGCACCTGGACTGGTTCACAACAACACATTACACAAAGCAGTGGAAGAAATACAAAAAACGGACAGAGAAGTTACAGCTGTAAGGATGGGACTGTGATTAGGCCTACAGTCTGATTATTAGGCAACAAAATGATTCACAAAACTTTGACCATGACAGCCCTTTATGATGATCATCATTAGCATCTATACCTTATATCTTCCTAAACAACCAAATGTATTTAAAGTGCATTGCATTACTATGTTCACTATAAGTGAATGACCAGTCAGAGTCGACTGTACTGCAATGGAGTTGTTGTCCCTCCTTCCACCGACCTGATTTAAACCTTCTAAATCCGGCTGAGCACACACTCAAATCCGAGGATTGGTGGGCCGGAAAATTAATCACAGCGGCTTTATAATTCCGTTATTAAAAACAATTGTTTTAAGTCTTTCGGGTGGATTGTAAGACCACTAGCCACACATATAAACTATAACAACTAGCCAACTTGATATCAGTTGCCTAATCATGATAGGCCACTTATGATTTGAGCGAACTGTCAAACGTGAATTGAAAGCTCGAGCACGCTAGATACATTGTTGCGGCAATGGAAACGCTACATTGTTGCAATTCTAGACTACTAAACTTCCGCAATGAAAACAATAACACTACTGCGATTGGGAAGTATTGTGGGCTATGAAGAAAAGGCTAAAATGACGATTTCCTACCTCTTAAAATCCCGAAGCCTTCGGTCTTCTCGTCTTCATACTCATCTACAAACGAAAAACATTTCACAGTGTAGCGACAATTAGGCTATTTGGGTCAATAGCCAGATCACATGCAATGTTAAATCGTATAGGCCTATTGCACTGCAACTTTCTAAACGATACAAACATTGCTTTGTCAAGTTTTGTTGCGGCAAAGAAAATGTGTAGGGTAGTTCTAGACAAACCTATTTATGTCCAGAAAAGTACAATATTTTTCGGATTTAATCAACAACAACAAAAATCCTATAGCGTCAGCCTAGGACTATCCAACGGGCAGTTACACTAACGTCTACATGCGAGATTAATGCAGGGCATATTGCAACAATTAGCCTAACTTAATTATATGTTTGTTTACTTGTTTGTAGAGATAGCTGGTCTACAGCGTCTCGACTAGGGTACACGATCCGCCTACTACGAAGAGAATGCTACACAAACACGCGAAATTAAACAATTTCACTTATTTAATTTGTTTTTCAGAGAGGGTAGAATAAAACTCGCTCATAAAAGTAGGCCTACATTCTTTTGGGGTGTATTCATTACGCCGATTCTGTTGCAAAACCTTTGCAACAGAAACCGTTTGGTTCTTAAACGGTAAACGGTTTCCGTTGCAAGACCTACTGAATACACCCTTGGTCTAGATTCAGTAACTTACTTTCTCATGGATCCCGCGTTTGTCACAGGCCTCAGCGCCTATGGAGGACTAAAAGTGCCACAATTAAATAAATAAATACACCATTAAATAATTACTTAAATGTGTCATTAATTAATTAAAATTAGAATTAAATACATAAATGTGTAATTAAATGTATCATTAATTAATTCAAATACCGATTCATTTTATGTAAAATACATATATAATTATTTCACTATTTACATTTACATTTCATGGTCCTGCGTTGGAGTGATTCATGAATTACTTAAAACTGTCAAACTGACCCATCAAAAGTTGGTAGGCGGAACCTAACGCCTGATTGGTTACCCTCTGCATCAAGCCAAGACAAATCAATTCCGGATAATGGATTGATGCAGAGCTACTGAACACATTCCAATACACTGGGTGGCGCTATTCACCTCTACGTTGGTTTAGTTACACGGTTAAACAGTACTTTCATTGCAACGGCTAAAAATCAAGAAGACTCGGTCCTGCTAGCCCCAATGTTGAGACGCTGTGTGAGGTGCAGGACAAAATGTCTAAAAGTTGCCCGGAGCTGCTGAGAGAAGCAGCGAATTTGATTGAGGAAGCTCTGAGCAGAAGTCCAACGGCTCCCGCGGCACCGGTGACTCCGGCAGCTCAGTCATAGCAGATACCGGCCGCTCAATCACGTACACCTGTCCAAGGTAAGCTAAGTAATTTCATGTTAGCCAGGTGTGCTACTATTTAATGATTCGGGACACACGTGTAGGTTAAATTAGATCGACTCGAACATGTATTTGCATGCGGTATTATGATGCTTCGTGCGTGACACGTTTATTGTTAATGGGGGGGGGGGAAGCATAAACCTAGCTAGTTCGCTAATCGGCTAAATGGTGTTAGCTGGCTTGAGCATCCCAAGATAGAAGTAGAGGCTGTTTTAGCTGACTGGTGACCATTGAGCTGTTACGTTTTTCTGTGTTGCAGCGGAGGTAGCAAGGCTCTTTGCGCCATATAACATTGGAGCCAGAAGGAATATGACGAGACGACCAGCACAAGTCCAAGTTAGCCGAAGAAGCTACACACACACTGTCTGTTGTTTGGCTGACCACAATGCGGATAAAACTCCAAGCGTACTGTTTAAAGCTGAACTTCTTACTTCAGGACTTGGAGAGCAAAAAGTAACATTTTCAGGTCAGTGCCAAACTAGGCATTTACCAAAAGTAAAAAAAAGTTTGTACTGTCTGTGGCTTGTTGAAATTATTTGCATTTCTTTTTATAGTGACTCAAACTTAATTGGTGTTCATAGTGTCAATAATAGTTATCACAGGCTTATTTGCTTAATTTAAGGTGAGGTGAGTTATGATTTTGTTTTGTTTTTTTCTCCAGGGAATGACCACGATCCCATGGTTATAACAAATAAACTGATGGAAGTGTTTCCGAAGCTCCAACAAGGGGGAGGCTTTGAATTTCTAAAACTTGTAGGATCTACTCGCAGTCGAAATCTTGCGTTGCTTCAGTGTCCCAGCACTGGATACACCCTTGCCTATCTGAAAGATCCATCGACGATGATTGGACAGGCTACAATCAACATACGTCCACTTCAACAGGATCTACCCTTAGATTGTGTACATACATTTACAGAGACTTAGTTTAATACATAATCAAAACAAAGATTACTGGTGACTTTTAATCATTAATTAAAAGCCATTTGTTGTTGTTGTTAGGAGAGCTCACGTCCTGCCTCTGGTCCAGTCATCCCCTGCATCACTTGTCAGAAGGAAGTTCCCTTTTCAGAGATGAAGCTGCACAGATTGAGCTGCAATGGGTATGTACTTCTTAAAGCAATGCAAGGGTAGCATAATTTATTTTCTTTGGGAATATGTCTCTCTTATTGTTGTGCACACAAATAAGCGAGTATGACCATCATTTCAATTGTGTTAACTTCAAGGACACCCATGCAGGAATCAGAAAGAGAACAAGAGGGAGGCCAAAGTGAAGAAAATGATAGTGAGACAGCCCTAGTCAGTGACAGTGTTCCAGTGAGGCCTGAAACATCAGCTGAGAGTGCAGTAGTACCGGCAGTGATTGTCAACGAGGAGTTGGATCGCAAAGAAACAGACAGTGGTTTGTGTCATCACAATAGTGTTGCTATAAGATTGTGTGTAACTGAAAAGTTAATAGAAAGATAACACCTGTAGGATATAATTAGATAAGATAATACAGTTACAGACAATTAATAACATGCAACTGGGTTTTTCTATTTTTCTAATATTTAGTTGTAGTTGTTTAGTAGTGCTGTTTTTATGTCAACTCAGCGTTGTGACAGGTTCTGAAGATGTTGGGTCTCACGTTTTGTCAGTGAAATGAACAGAATTTTCCTCCTGTTCTGTAGAGTGAGAGGATATCTGTATATGCAGGTAACATGCCAACTCACAATATGTCTCTCTGTAATAGATAACTTTATTGTTGTTGTTTGTTTAGAATGGAAGCTTATTAAAGAACCCACTCAAGCTGCCAAAGTTTTCAAAGAGAATCTGCTAAGGGAACATGCAACTGGGAAACCACTTAGAATGAAGATGGATGTAAGGGACTCTGAAGAGGACAGGGAACGGGAGCTTCTCTTATTCTATAAACAGCAGCAAGAATGGGCATGTCCACTTCATTGTACTCTGGTTGGTAAGTAATATAACATTTATAATATAAATACATCAGTACAGTTTATACCACTCAAGTAGCTTATATGTAATTGTTAAATGGGAGAATGGAATGCACAAAATTATATAATTGATAAAAATGTTATATGTATGTATGTGAATATTGTGCACAATATACTCTTGTTATCTGGAATAATCAATATTAAGGATGCTATTCTAGAATTACAGCCAATAGAAGTTTTTCTCCCTTTCTTGTTAAATGTTACCAAATCCAGTTACCTGTATTAGGCCGCCACTTTTTTTCCAGTGTTATTATCAGTATTTTATTTCAGGTGATGTTGCTATCGGAGAGGGAGTGATGCGGTACTTTATGACAACAATCATATCCAAACTCCAGTTTGGATTCAGTCTAGATCTTGGTAAGTATCTTACTAATTTTTTGAAGGTTAATCCATCTATAAATTGCAGAAATGTCTGTCTGTAGCGCATGTCTCTCAGTTAGTCTGATGGATTTCAAACTTGACAGGTGTCTTGCTCTGGTCACGAGTAAGTGCAGTGCCAAGTTTGACGACGTTTGGATAAACGCAAAAGATAGCGTTACATATATAGGTAAAAGAAGCACACATTGGCTTTTGCCGCTCTTGCTGCTTGCCATTCTCACACTGCATGCAACGCTGACTGAGCACCTGTTTGTGTCGTGACTCACTCTACACCGCCTCTCTCTATGCGCGCGCACACACACACACGCGTACACGTACGTTCTGGTGGTTGATGAACGCGGATATGTGCTGTTTAGCGGAGGGCCGGTGGGCAATGTTTTGTGTCAGGTAAGTCTGTAGTAGGGTATACAGGGGAATTGAATTTGAAGTGGTTTGGGGTCCTTCTGTAAGTCATTTTGGAGTAGGCTACAATTTGGTTTAAGTGAATTCTACAAGCAGCAATACCACAGGCCAAGTAATCGCCACTAGTATGATGTAATCTATCTATCTATCTATCTATCTATCTATCTATCTATCTATCTATCTATCTATCTATCTATCTATCTATCTATCATACATTTTTATTTAATGTATTTAAGAGGTTAATTGTTGTGACTTTATTCCCTGCTCTCTTGGTACTTTACAGGAGGAATGGGCCAAACACTGCTATTTGAGGGTGAACCTGACCATCTTGTTCCAGCAGCATCAGAGGCACTTATTGAAAGCAACCTCTTCCGGGTTGCAGGAAGGATGTTGGGCCACACCTTTCTGCATGATGGTCCCCATGTCACAGGACTAAGTCCTGCTGTAATTCATGTACTGTTCAATGGGGACCCTGAAATGGCTACCGTTGTTACAGAAGACTGCCCTGATCTGCACATCAGGAGCATCATAGAACTGGTATGTAACCTAAAAGAAACTTTGCCATGTAAAAAATATTGCTTGGGCAGATATAATAACTTGTATGGTCTTAATTCTAGCTTGAACATGAAGATCTTACACCGGAACAGAAGGACACAGTTTCAGATCTTTCCATGTCTTGGGATCTTCCGGCAGTCACCAAAACAAATCGGAGATGGCTACATAACAAACTTCTACTCCATGCAGTGAGTTCCTGCTGGTTAAGTGACAGAATTCATCGCTGTACTTGTTGAAATTATAGAATGTGTTGTGAACCCTGGCTTGTTATGTTAACACGAGAGTTTAAGTACTAGAGTTTTAATGGATTTTTATAAAGCAC